CGCCCGCGGGGGCTCCCGCGCTCGACATTGAGCTCACAATTGATAGGTGGGAGAGCCAGGGAGAGCTGGGGGATGGGAGGGGCAGCTTTTGTGTGAGGGGTGGCGAGGTGGAGGGCTGCGGTGCTGGTGGCGCGACGGCACCCACGCCTCTCCCGCGGCGCTTCGCCGCGGCGCCGCCGGCCTCTGCCGCTGCCCCTCGCCGTGCCGTCCCCGGAGCCCTCTCCCCGCCCCTCCTTTCCTCCCGGCCTCACCCCCACCCGTGGCTGGCATGCAGGGGCGGCGCCTACGCCGCCGGCCTGCTGTTCCGCTCTTATGAAGCCGAGGCGGAGGGAGGCACCGCTCTGGTGTATGACTGGGACAGGAATGCTCTGGAGGCGATCTTCAATGTGCCGCCCAACTGGTGCGCTGAGGTGGCGGGCGCCGAGCTGGCGCCGGTTTAGCGCCAGATGCGGCGGGGTTTAGGGTGTTGAGCCCGGCTCGCGGCCGCGGTTCGCCTGCCGCGCCGTGCCGCCCTCCCACGCCTGCCCGCTTGCGCCGTCCACGCTGGCCCTACCGCTTCCCCGCCCGCTTCCCCGCGCCCGCAGGCAGCCGCAGGCGGCGGCGGTGGCGGCGGCGGCGGCGGCGTCTGCCGCCGGCGACGAGCCCGAGCACTTTGACCCCGCGCTGCTGCTCACGCCTCGCCCCAGCGTGAACAACCTGGCTGGGCTGGGCATGAGCCGGGAGCCCTCTGCGGTGAGCTTCGCCTGCGGCAGCCCAGCCAGCCTCCCGTGTTCGCGGCGGTCCTGTGCTTGCGTTGCATTTCCTGCGTTGCGTTTCCGGAGTGGGATGGAGCCTCCCCAGCTCCCCGGTTGGCTGTTTGGGGTCCGCTCCCTGGCGGCCCCGCCCTCCAGCCCCTGCCTGTCGCGCCGCAGGCCTGCGTGCCGGGCTTGTGGGTTGCCCGCGGCGCCCCCAACGCAGCCGCTTGCCGGCCTCACTGCGCCCCTGCCCGCCGCCTGCCTGCCCCGCACAGATCTTCTCCCCCGACGGCTTTGAGTCGGCCACCGCCTCCGCCTCAGCCACCCCCCGCACCGCCACCGCCTCGCTGGCGGGAGAGCTCAGCAGCAGCGTGCTGTCGCCGCAGGTGAGGGGGCCCTTGGACGTGCGTGAGGGTGTTTGTGTATGTGTGTGCGTGTGCGTGTGTGCGTGGAGGGTGCCTTGTTGTGAGCATGCGGATGGGTGTTTGTCTGTGTGTGCTGTGGCTGGGAAGGGGCGAGGGAGCACGCAGACTCCTCCACACGTGTTTTGTGTTGCTGCCTGCGCCATCTCCAGACACCCACGCCCTCCCGGTGCCTGCCCCCGACCCTACCCCTGCCCCTCCCTGCAGCGGAGTGGCGTCAGCATCGCGGGCGTACCGCACGTACCGCCGCTTGACCTTGGGATCCCCGGCCTGCCGCCGCCGCCGCACCTGGGAGAGGGCGGCGGCGGCGGCGGGCTGGGAGGCGGGCTGGGAGGGCGGCCTCGTCACGGACTTTGCTC